TTAGGCACCCTGTGTTGGTGAAAGGAAGTCTCTACTACATATGTTTATGATTTTATTTTGTATGAATAATGGTGTAATTTTGTTTTGATATGGTATAATGAAGTATGGTATAATGAAGAAGTACCATTATAATGGTACTTCTTTATAAAGTAGTATTTAAAGAACGCTCCTGAAATGAGAAAAATGACACAAATATGGTGAGAGCTTTTCAAAGTATATGATTGCTTTAGGTAAATGTACAAAATTTAGCTTTTCTGAGTTTGTAAGGAAAACGCTTATTTGTACAGCGTGTATTAGTTTTCCTCTGATGTTGCAGATCGCTGTGTTTCTTACACAGATGTGACAAACAGCATTACAGCTGCTCTTTGTTTGATCTTCTAAAGACACAAAGATGTGCAAGGATACTGTCTGCTCCCTCTTTCCCACCATGTTTTCTGTTGAAAAAGAGTCCTAATTTGCAGCAGATACAAAACTATTTGTCGTGTTGCAGGTTTGCCAAAAATAAATGAAACCATTAATTACTACATTTTTTGAGCAGCTGTTGATAGATTGGGGTAAGAAAACTCTACATTAGACTAGTAGTTAATTACAAGAACTGTAATTGTTTAATGTGGCTTTTGTGGAATGATATTACACAAGAGGAGGTGAATTCAGCCTGTTTTTGAAAATTATGCTTGAAAATATATACCAACTTACCCTGCAGTAAAACTAAGGAATGTGTAAGTTTTTACTCTTGTTTCACTTTTGCAATCACACTGACATATAATCCCAACAAAATTGCTCTAAAAGGCCATAATATATAAAATTCCTTTCTTAATTTAAGTGTAAAATTATTAAATCTGGTAGTGGTAACCTCAGACTCGGATAGAACATTAAAAGCCAAATGTGAGTACATCACTAAAAACTGTCTAGACAGATTTATCTCTTGAGTGTTGCAAAGCAATAACAGGATTGTCGTCATTGGTCCTTAGTAATATTTATAAGTTAGAATATTTCCGGAATAACTTATATGAATTTTAGAGATATTTTCTTCCCATCTTCCCTTATTTTTCCACTTTGAGAAGACTAGGAAATGGGAAATTTGCCTAGACATCTGTTCTTCTGATGGAGTTTTCTATAGTATGTCCTTAATTTCAGGTCCTGAATGGACCTCTATAAAGAGGGGGAAGCCATTTGATTAGTGTTTGAAAATGCAACCAGCTTTAGTGAGATTTGACTTTATGAAAGTCTTGAGGCCTGTGTATTGATTCATTAGTAGATTCAGAATATCAACTGACAACATGAACGCTGGTGATGCAGTGACTTAAAGTAATTGAACATATACAATGAGTAGACTTGCAGAAATGTAGAAAGTGCAGAAAATTCAGACACCTTACTGTTTTTGAAAAACATATTTTACCACTCCAAAGAGTTTCACTGCAGCTTTAGTACAAAATAAGAGTTCTAACTACAAAAGCAAAAAGAGAATTTCATGGTTACTGTACACTTCATAATATTGTAATAAATAGTAAACATATTTTTCTTTCCAGATTGAATTCAGGGTATCATTAATGTGCTAACTAATAGAAAGTAATCTATCCAGACTAAAAATAATAATAATAAAAATAAGAGGGGTGAAGACCTTTGCTACTATTTAGGACTATTAGGTCCTGTTACTGTGTATTAGGTCCTGTGAACTTGCGCTGTAGTTTCACAAAGAGTTTAATCTTGTATTAACTAGCAAGACCATTTAAAAGCAGCACTTTTCTGATTCAGCCTGCTGATGTTTGGATTTGAGAATCTGCTTTGCTAAGATTCCTGTTATTTCACAAATATTTTTTAAAAAATGCTAATGCCACTACAATTGATTAGGAGGAATGTATGAGAGTATATAGTAGAAAAG